CATGAGAAAATGGAAATTTTCATAAAGTGTAATGACTAAGCTAAATCATGAATGTAAAATAACTAGATGACATAAGTCATAAAACATTGTCAATGCAAATAGACATCATCTTCAGTCACATGTGAGATACTTCTTTAAGTAACCTTAGTTCATTATTGTGGAATATTTACCTTTAACCGGCATATAAGACCATGTGAGCTATCAACATGGAATATGGTCTCTACCCCACAGTGTAAAGGGGTGTCCTACTTTCTAAGGTAAGACCATGAACTTCTAGATTATGTGGATCCACTAACTATTTTCTATCTAAGACAATCATCCTATGGGGGCACATAGGTATGGGATAAAGATATTGCTTCTAGAAACTCAGTCTCTACTAATGGGAGAGCTCCCATCTCAATATCCTCTCGGTGCTAAGCATAAATCCCACGGAATAGTCATTTTTGTAAGTTGTTCTAATTGTCCATGGAAGGGTACGTCACTTTGCCAATCTAAACTAACTCATATGTCATCCATTGAAAGGTACAATTAAGTAACCAATCCAAGCGAGGTTTCATTAGAATAGCTCCTTATCTTTGATTCATTTTAGGGAGAAGACCTTTCAACCTTAAAATCCTTTATGTGAGGAAACCTTTCGCATTCATGCATGAAGTAGTTATGTGAGAAATCCTTTCACAACAATTAACCACAACAAAAATGTATATGCTTTTACTCTAAAAGAAATATACATCATCTCATCAATTCCATAAGAACATGCATAATTCCATAATTCAACTTTCGAAGTTCAAAACCCATTTTCAATCATCAATATTTAGAAAACGTGGGTTAAGCATGGGTTCATAGGAATTCATCATAAAATCATGTAATTATCTCAATTCATGCTTGATAGATCATAAAACAATTAAATAAATTAATATTTAAAGGAACCCATGACTTGGAAGAAAACCCTAACACAATTGGGGAACTCTAACTTCGTAAATTGGAGAATTTGGGAACTACATGGAGGAAAGGGCTCCATGGATGAAGACTATCATACCTTAAAGTTCAAAGCTCACAATTAGTGGGGAATCTGGAGACTTGATCTTGAAATCATAGTCTTCTTCTTCAAGCTTTTAGAGAGAGAAATTTTTGGGGGAAGAACTTGGAGGGATTTGGGAAAATTTAAAAAGTGATTTAGAATGGTTAAATATTTTAGGCTTAAAAGACCTATGTAGGGTTTAGGATTAGGATTAAACGGCTTAGTTTAGGTTTTAGATGCATAGGAAAAGACCATTCCACTGGCCGTGAACGTGTCCATGAGTCATTGCCTTAGAATAATTTTTACAAGGCTTCGGTTCAAGGATGGGTTCACTAACCGTGGACTCTTCCATAGTCCTTGAACCATTCCTTATTGTCACGCCCCAAACTCAAAGGGCGCAACTGGAACCTAATGCGAAAACTTGGGCCTGAGCCGACCTTGCTTAGCCATTTTGTAATGGCACGGAGAAGCCACACATAGTTAAGAAAAAAACAAGTATATCTTGGGCTAAAAATATGTCATTGGCCGACAAGGTCCTGTCAACAACCCAATAAAGAATATAACTACTTCCACAGTTCATATGAATAACCAGCTAGCACATAAATCATGTTTGGGCCGTCGAGGACACCATGATATCTTGGAAAATGTATACGCTAAATGGGTTGTCAAAGCCGCCATTATCTCTATACGAAATCGAAGAAATACTATGTATCAAGACAATAAAACAAACCATCACCAAATTTCGGCCAACCAATAAACAAGGCCAACATGGATAATAATGTGGCTATGCAACATGACACGCTAGTTTGGAAGCATCTAAGAGTAGTAAAGTTTGGTGGGGATAGGACCCCGATATACCCAAAAACTATATACAACAAAATCTAACAAACCTTTAAAGTCTGCCAGCTCCGTAGGAAGGGGGAAATCCAACCTAGTTGAACTCAATCGTGCTGCTTGGGAGGTCTATCGAGTCGTCTATAGGGACTTCCAAGCATAATTTCAGCACCCCCGGGCAATAGGGCGTCGTACGAAATAATGTACCGAGTATGAAAGGCGATACACTAAATGAGCAAGTATCATAATATACCAAAAGAAAACAGGTAAGGAAATCAAAATTAAGATAAGCATGCTAACCCACTACTGAATCTTAACATACAAAAATACTCAAACAACAACCTAACCAAGCCCCCAAAAACTCAGCAGGTACAAAATCATACCACCTACCTAGGGTCTAATAAGCCTAGAAGGTGCCAAATCAATCTACATACCGCTATTGGTATCCCCTTGTCTTTGTAAGAAGTCACATAGCCCTTTTAGACAACGATATATCCCTGTAGGAAGCGCATAGCCCTCTTAGGAACCAACATAGCTCTGGAGGCTGCACATAGCCCTCTTTTGCATCAAAATAGCCTCGTAGGCAACACATAGCCCTCTTTGGCATCAAAATATCCCCGTAAGCAATAAATAACATTCTTCAGCATGAATATAGCCCCGTAAGCAACATATAGACTTCTTAGGAAATAACATAGTCCTCTTAGCCAACATCATAGCCCCGATAGGTAGTTTATAGCTCAGCAACTAACTACAATAGCCCCAAGGGCAATAACAAACAATTCAATAGGCTAAAGGCGAGCAGTTTAGATATAAACAATTTAGATGAATAGACTACAAGTCATTATGAGGGTTTAGAACTACTCAGTCAGCCAACCACTCACATTTATATTTACAAGATCACCAACATTAACTGCCAAAAAACATGTCAAACGAAGGGAATAGCCTTAAATACCTCTTTCTTTAGAGTTTATGCTGAATAGCACCTCTGTCCGCACCACTACAACACTAAAAAGAGGTCAAATCAATCAATAATGATGGACAAGAATTACTATGACAATTCGACAATCGATACAGATTTCTATCATAAATTTCTATCAGAGACCTACGTACCCATAATCTGATAAAAGATGGCTCTTACCTTTCTTTACACGCCCAGAACACCTGAATAAAATCAAACCATTGAAAAATCCCTTCTTCCATAGCCTCCACAAAGCTACACCGCACAATTAACCATGAAAACTATACAAAAATGACGAGCTCGCGATGTAGGGAAATTTTTTATAAAGAGCCAAGAAGAGATCATGAACACACAAGAATGATTAGAGGAGCAATTCTCTAATTTTTTGGGTTTTCTTGCGAGCTGGAATGAATAAAAATTAAGCAGATGCCATTTTATAAGGTTCCACCGACCTAGGGGACCCACTAGCCGCCTCTACTATGCAGTCGGTACAAAGAGGTGAATATCTCTCTATTCTGATGTCGTATGAATGAACGGTTTGATGCGTTGCAAACTAGACTTGTATATATATTTTGGGCCCTCTGACTCTTCTTATATTTGGAGAAAACCTCATAGACATTTGCACTAAATTTCAGAGAAATTTATAAAAGGAACTTGCGATAACTTTCGCCGACTTTTATTGCTAAACTTGCTTAACTTCAAAAATTAAGATGTGACTCTTGAGAACTTAACATATGACCCACATCATTACTTATATATTAATCATTATTCGTCTTTCCATGAAGATATGAGTTAATTTAGAGTTTTAAAAAGTCGAGGTGTTACATCCTCCCCCTCTTAGAAACATTCATCCTCGAATGAAAAATTTTAGACACGCGGTTAAGTCCTTAGTAGTTGCCAAAATTTTAGTAAAGTCTCCTCTATAATCGTGAATATGCTGGAACCTAAAATGCAAAAGATTCCAACCTAAGCACCTCACAGGACGATACAAATAGCTAAGCACCATTGCTAAGAAAAAATAGTCCGAGAAAAATACAACAACAACAATAATAAACAACAATACAAAGACTAAATGGGTATCCTACCTCACTGTGCTAATCAAAATTGATATTTTTACCACTCTGGGATCTAAAACAGCTGAGGATATTTGGATCTCATGCCATCCTCGGCTTCCCATGTGACCTCTTCCCTATAATTGTCTCTCCACAATACTTTAACATAAATCATATCTTTGGTCCTAAACCTTCGGACTTATCGATCTAGTATTGCAACTAGAGTTTTGTCATAGGACAACTCCTTTGTGATCTGAACATCCTCAATAGGGACAACCCGAGAAGGGTCTTCTATGCACTTTCATAGCATCGATATATGGAAGATTGGATGAACCGATTCTATCCCCGATGGAAAATCTAACTCATAAGCCATTTGTCATACCTCTAAAGGATCTGATATGCCCCAATGAATCTTCGACTAAGCTTTCCCTTTTTTCCAAATCTTATAACATCCTTCATATATGAGACTTTTAAGAATACTCAGTCATCAACACAAAACTTAAAATCTCTACGCCGCACATCTGAGTATGACTTTTGGCGACTTAGACAAGTCAATAAATGATCTCAGCTGAGCTGAACCCGCTACATTGTCTGTTGTACTAGTTTAGGTCTAGCTAACCCTGACTTACCTACCACAAACCAGTCAATAAGGGATATGGGTTCCGGATCGTACAAAGCCTCGTAAGGTTCCATCTTGATCCTAGGATGATAACTATGGTTATATGCAAACTAAATAAGAGATAAGTGGTCATCCCAACTTCCATTGAACTCCAGGATGCAAGCCAGTAACATGTCCCCAAGTGTTAAAATGGTGCGTTCGACTTGCCCATCTGTTTGGGGGTGAAATTTGTGCTGAGATTAACTTGCGTCCCTAATGCTTTCTTGAAAGACTTCTAGAATTTAGTGGTAAATTGTACTCCTCTATTTAAGATAATAGATATTGGGACGTCGTGGAACCTAACAATCTCTCAGATGTAAAGCCATGCATAGTCTTCGGTTGTGAAAGTAGTCTTGACCAGTAAGAAGTGGGCGACATATCAAAAATTACCCAAATAGAGTCAAACTTACGCTGCGATCAAGGTAACCTTGTAATAAAATCCTTATTAATTACCTCCGACTTCCATAAAGAAATGTCTATCTAGTGGACCAGCATAGTAGGCTTCTGTTGCTCAAGCTTCACTTGTTGGCAGTTAGGAAAGTGTGCCACAAACTCACCAATATCCTTCTTCATCTTGTGCCACCAATAGATCTCTATTATATCATGGTAAATCTTCGTCAATCCTGGGTGAATAGAATACTGGGAATGATTTTCCTCTGCCATAATCTGTTGTTGAAGCCCTACCACATTTGGAACACACAATTGACCTATATATCTTAGGAGTCCATCTCCTGGTATATCAAATGCTAACGAATCCTTATCATGAACTTTGCCTCTGAGCTACTCTATGTAGGGATCCTCATGCTATCGTTCCTTAACTTCCATTATTAAAGATGATACAATTGTGTTTTGAACTCTGACCCCACTATCACTTGCAACTTCTAATCTGACTCCCAAGCTGGCTAGTTGATTAAGTTCTCAAGCTAATTCACGCCTCTTAAAACCTAAATATGACAAACTTCCCATTGATCTAAGATTGAGGGAATCACCTACCATATTTTCCTTCCCTGAATGATATAACATATCTATGTCGTAGTCTTTCAGTAACTCAAACCATCGATGTTGTCGAAGATTCAATTCCTTTTGTTTTAAGATATTCTTAAGGCTTTTATGATCGGTTAAAATGTCCACATGAAAACCATATAGATAGTGCCTCTTGATCTTCAATGCATGAACAACTCCAGCCAACTCTAAATCATGAGTTGGGTAGTTCTTCTTTGCATGCTTCCTCAACTTCCTTGAAGGATATGCGATCACCTTACCATGTTGCATCAGAAAACATCCTAACCCAATACTAGAAGCGTCATTGTACACTGTATAACCCTCAGAACCCTCTTTCAAGGCTAGGATTGGTACTGATGTCAACATGTCCTTCAGCTCCTGGAAACTATGCTCGCAAGCCTCATTCCACTAAAACTTAATTTTTTTATTCAACTTTGTTAGTGGTGCTGAAAGTGAATAAAACCCCTCTACAAACCTTCTGTAGTACCAAGCTAACCCTAATAAACTACGAACCTCTCTCGGAGTTGTAGGTTTAAACCAAGTCTTCATGACCTCATTCTTTTGTGTATCAACCATAATTCACGCATGTGATACAATATAACCTATGAAAGCCACAGATCTCAACCAGAACTCACACTTAGAGAACTTTGCGTAAAGTTCCTACTCTCGAAGAAGTTGAAGGACTGCTCGCAAATGATCTGCATGCTCAACTTTTGAATGCAAATACACCAAAATATCATTAATAAATACAATCACAAACATGTCTAGATACGACATGAATATGCTATTCATCATGCCCATAAACACTGTCGGGGCATTGGTCAATCCAAAAGACATCACCAAAAACTCAAAATGCCTATATCTAGTTCTAAAAGTTGTCTGTTGAATATGTTTCTCCTGAACTCATACCTGATGGTACCCTGATCTCAAATCAATATTCGAGAAGTACTTAGCATCTTCTAATTGATCAAACAAGTCATCGATCCTCAGAAATGGATACCTATTGTTTGTAGTAGCCTTGTTCAACTGTCGATAATTGATACACATCCTCAGTGAACAATCTTTTTTTCTCACAAATAATATTGGTGCACCCCATGGTGAAGCATTAGGCCAGATAAAGCCTTTATCCAGCAAATCTTTCAGCTGATCCTTCAACTCATTTAGCTCAGTAAGAGCCATTCTATAAGGAGGGATAGATATGGGTTATGTACCTGGTAGCATATCGATAGCAAAATCAATTTCCCGTTCTCGCGGGATACCATGAAGATCATCTATAAATACATCTGGAAATGCATTAACCAGCGAAATATATGCGAGAATCGGTGGTTCTAAATCCATATCATGAACTTGAACAAGAAGATAAATTCAACCCATCGTAATCATCCTTCTTGCCTTAAGATAGGAAATAAACCTACCTTTCGGCGCTCCTGTATTACCTTTCCATTCTCGCACTGCCTCTCATAAAAAGTAAAATCTAACAATCTTTGTCCAACACTCAACATTAGCATAACATGAAGCTAACCAGTCCATACTCATAATGACGTCAAAATCCACCATCTCTAGCTCTACCAGTTCTACAAAGGTTTGATGGTCGATAATTTCTACAATGCAACCTCGGTAGACTCTATTGGCAATAATAAACTCACCAACTGGTGTAGACACAATGAAGGGTCGATGTAATGACTATGCTTCTATACATAACTTCCCTACAGTAAATGGAGTAACATTGGATAGGGTAGAACCTGGATCTATCAAATCATAAACACAATGAGAACAAACAATCAATGTACCTGTCACAACGTTAGGTGATAACTCTGCCCCTCTTTCCCACAAGAATAACAACTTGTGGAACCTTGCCTACATGTCCCAACGTGCATCCTACCGAATGTAGCACAATATGGTGGGCCTGACCTGGCCTGGCTTGAACTCATCTGCTTCTGAAAGACTTACGCTCATGAACCCTCACCTAGAGCTTACTATTCGACACGATCAAGTCTACTACCTTGGATCTGCTGTACCAGAGGTCTCGGTGGCCTACTAGGATAATGAGGTTTTGGACCACTGTGAAACTTTCCCCGTGAACTAGAAGGCCTAGCCCTCTTCTACAACTCTCTATCAATCCTCTCCCACATAAACTGTTAGTAACGATGCTCTTCTATGCTTTGTGGAAAGGCCTAAATTCACGAGATATCCATACTATCATTTAAGGCAGCAGTAGTGCAAGCATTGATATAGTGTGAATCAATCCCTCCCACAAATCTTTGCACCCTGTCATGCATCGTATCAACAAAAGCTGGTGCATTCCTAGCCAATGAATCAAATCTCATGCCATACTCTCGGACACTCATTCTTCCCTGTCGAAGGTTTAGGAATTGATATACCCAGGCATCTCCAATCGTCCCAAATTCAAGGAGGTGGAACTGGCACCTAATGCATAAACTTGGGCCTGAGTTGAATCTGCTTTGCCATTTTATAATGGCACGGAGAAGCCACACATAGTTAAGAAAACAAAAAAGTATATCTCGGCTTAAAAATATGCCCTTGGCCGACAAGGCCACTGTCAACAACCCTATAAAGAATATAACTATTCCCACGGTTCATATAAAAAAAATAGATAGCACATAAATCTCTTTTGGGCTGTCGAGGCCACCATGATTTTTAGGAAAATTTAAATGTTATATGGGCTATCAAAGATGCCATTATCTCTACACAAAAATGAAAAAATATTATGTATCAAGACAATGAAACAAACCATCACCAAACTTCGTCCAACAAACAAACAAGGTCAACAAAAATAATAACGTGGCTATATAACCTTACACACTAGTTTGCAAGCCTCTAAGAGTAGTAAATCTTGGTCGGGACAGGTCCTCGACATACCCAAAAAACAATATACAACAAGATCCAACAAACCTTTAAAATATGGCAGCTCTGGAGAAAAGGAGCTAGCCAACCTACTGGAACTCAACTATTTTATTGGGGAGGTCTATCGAGTCATCAATAGGGACCTGCAAGCATGAATGCAGCTCCCCAGGTAATGGGGTGTTAGTACAAAAATAATGTACCGAGTATGAAAGGCGATAGACTAAATGAGAAAGTATCATAATATACCAAAACCAATCGGGTAAGAAAATCAAAATTAAGATAAGCATGCTAACCCACTACTTAATCTAAAAGTACAAAAATAATCAAATAGGAACCTAACCAAGGCCCCATAAAATTGGCCGATACAAACACCATAACACCTACCTTGGACTTCATAAGCCCAGAAGGTGCCAAATCAATCGACATACCCCAATAGGTAGCCCATTATCTTCGTAAGAAGTCACATAGACCTTTTAGGCTACGGTATAGCCCCGTAGGTAGAGCATAGCCCTCTTAGGCAACAACATAACTATTTAGGCAACACATAACCCTCTTTAGCGTCAAAATAGCCCCGTAAGCAATACATAACACACTTTGGCATCAATATAGCCCCGTAGGAAATACATATCCCTCTTAGGAAATAACATATTCCTGTTAGCCAACATCATAACCCCATAATTCTAAGGTAAGGGTCTAAGGAAGGCTTCAAGGATGGTGGAAGAGTCCATATCCTTGAACCCAAGTCTTGTGAAATATATTCTAAGGTAAAGGTATAAAGAAGGGTTCAAGGATGGTGGAAGACTGCACGGTGAGTGAACCCATCCTTGAACCCATGCCTTGTGAAAAATTTTCTACGACAAGAGTCTAAGGAAGGGTTCAAGGACGTTGGATGAGTCCATGGTCAGTGAACCCATCCTTGAACCCAAGCCTTATAAAAAATATTCTAAGGCAATGGTCTAAGGAAGGGTTCAAGGACAGTAGAAGAGTCCACGATTAGTGATCCCATCCTTGAACCCAAGCCTTGTGAAAAATATTCTAAGGCAAGGGTCAAAGTGTAACACCCCGACTTTTTGGGACTCTAACTTAACTCGTATCTTCATGGAAAGATGAAGTATGATATATATATAAGTAATGATGTGGGTCATATTTTAAGTTCTCAAGAGTCACATCTTAATTTTTGAAGTTAAGCGAGTTTAGTAATAAAAGTTTGCGAAAGTTATCGCAAGTTCCTTTTTAAAGATTTCTCTATAATTTAGTGCGAATGTCTCGGAGGTTTTCTCCCAATACAAGAAGATTTAGAAGGCCCACAATATATCATTTCAAAGGTCTATGAATCTAATTTTCAATGCGTTAAACCGCTCTTTCATACAACATCGGAATAGAGAGCTATTGACTTTTTATACCAACTGCGCAGTAGAGGCAGCTAGTGGGTCCCCTAGGTCGGTGAAACCTTGTAAAATAGCATCTTCTTCATTTATTTTCATCCTAGATCATAATAAACGCAGAAAAATCAGAGAATTGCTCCTAAACGCATACCTGTATTTTCATGATCTCTTCTTGGCTCTTTATTTAAAATTGCCCTACGTCGCGAGCTTGTCGGTTTGGTATAGTTTTCATGCTGAATTGTGTAATGTATCTCCGTGGAAGTTGTGGCGGTAGGGGTTTTTCAATGGTTTGAGTTTATTCAGGTGTTCTGGGCACTTAAGGAAAGGTAGGAACCATCTTTTCTCAGTTTATGATACCTTAGGTCTGGGCACTTAGTGTTGTAGTGGTGCGAACAGAGGTGTTATTCAACATAAACTATAAAGAAAAAGGTTTTTTTAGGTTATTCCCTTCGTGTATCATGTTTCCTTAAAGCTTGGGAGTGATATAATACGGTAGTTAATGTCTTGTAGATATAATTTTGAGTGGTTATAAACCCTCATTTTAGGGACTCATAGTCTTTTAAGAACGGGCCTAAGTTAGGAACGACTTGGTGACTTTTCTTAAATATTGTTTGTTGCTAAATTTCTCACATTTAGCCTACTGAATTGTTTGTTATCACCCTTGGGGCTATTGTACTTGAACCCTTCCTTAGACCCTTCCACCATTCTTGAACCTTTCATTACAAGTCTTTTTTAGGTGTCAAAACACCTTTCATCAGCTCAGATTCATAAAATGTGACATTTCGAAGAGAGCCTTGAAAACTTAGTTGGTCACTATGAATTTATCGTAATATGTTTTGGGCTAACGAATGCTCCTACATTTTTATGGTACTAATGAGTAGAGTGTTCAAACATTATTGAGACATATTCATTATTTTCTTCATAAATGAAATCCTTGTCTATTCTTGGACAAGGGTAACAATAAATACCATTAGAGGATTGTTTTGCAAAATCTCAAGGATCGACATTTATTTGCTATGTCCAGAAAGTATGAGTTTTTGTTGAAGTTACTCGCATTGCTTTGACATATACTCTATAGTGAGGGAAATTAAGTTGATCCTCAAAAGGCCAAATCAGTTGGGAACTGGCCTAGACTCCTCTCTCTTTTAGACATTAGGAGATTCTTGATTTAGCTGGCTACAATAGATGGTTTATTGAAGTGTTTTCCTCTATTTCTTCTCCTTTGTGTAGAATGACTCATAAGAAGGTGAAATTTCAGTGGTCCAAAGATTCTGAGATGTTTTTTCAAGAGCTGAAGACTTGACTCACTTCAACTCCAATTTTGACTATATCATAGGGTTACATGGGTTTGTAGTTTATTGTAATGCCTCCAAAATTAGCATTGGATGTGTGTTGATGCAACATGATAAGGTTAGAGCTTATGCTTCCATACAACTCAAAGTCCATCAAAGTCCATCAGAAGAATTTCCCAACTCATAATCTTATGTTATAAACACTAGTGTTTTCCTTGAAGATTTAAGGGCACAATCCTTATGCCTTTTATGTTAATAAATGCTTACAGACCACAAGATCCTTCGGTATGTGTTCAATCAGAAACTTGAATCTTCATCATAGGAGATGACTTGAATTATTAAATTATTATGACAGAGTATTGTACCATTTGGATAAAGGAAATTTTATATTTGATGCCCTTAGAAAGTTATCTATGAACAATGTTTCTTATATTTAAGAGGAGAAGAAAGAGTTAGTTCATGATGCTCATAGGCTTGCTCGTTTGGGAGTCCATCTTGTTGATTTATTAGATAGTGGAGTTATCATTTATAATGGTTTAGAATCATCTCTTGTGATGGATCTTAAGGAGAAACATGATGATGATATGATCTAGTTTAGATCGAAGGAAAATATCTTTAAGAAGCCCGTAGAGGTTTT